TTTTTTATAAGCTAAGTTTCTCCCCTGGCTTTCCCCTTTGCCCTTTCCTTCTGGACATGAGAGACTTTTATTTGTACCTAAAACAGAATATCCATTAGGTCAAAAAGGCAAATTTTAGTTTTAATATTTTGCTTATGGGACTCCTCTTACCAGGTGCTTTAAATTATAAATTTTGTTGGAAGTTATAAAAGAAATGGAATAAAATTTATTCTTATTTTGTATGTTGGTAATCTTTCAGGTAATCAGTAACTTTTTTTTTTCTGTGGCATTTGTATCAGTACTGATGGGTTAATTTTCTTTTATTCTTAGTGCGAGGAAAAAGAAAGAGCAGTTGTTATTCCTACCATGTAAGTAAATAGTTGAAAAGTTACATAAGAAATTAGTAATTTGAATTAAAAATTGTCTGCCATGATTTTTAACAATATATAATGGAACCAATATCATTAGCATGGTAGATTTTCTAAATCACTTCTGTTATCTTCATGATCAAACTTCCATATTTAGGAAAGTTTTTGGCTTTAGTAATGCTCATTTTTAGGGCTTCTAACCTCTAAGTTAAATGTCAATAACATGGCTGTGGTATAAATGTCTGCCTTAATTTTTTCCTTAAGTTTTAATCTTGATTTTTAGCAAAATGAACAATATAAAGCTAAGTCAATTTTCAGGGTTATATCTTAGCTTATTGTCATGGCAGCTGAAAGCTTATCTTTCTCACTCCAGTGTGACCTTTTTTCCCCTCCCTCTGTCCTCCCAACAAGGATCATGGTTTTTATTCAATCAGAATCAATGTTTACATTATTATGACTTTGTAAATATTTTTAATGCTGAGTCATATAGTTCTTTGGCTGTGCCTCTTTCTTGTGCCTTCATTCTTTTGCTCAACAAATGTATATGCACTTTGAATGATTATGCCAGTGTTTATTAACATACAGTTCAGTTTCAAAATTTGAAAGAATCTGCAGAAATGAATAATTTGTTTTTGTCAGTGCCTATTTTCAAACTGATGACTGGTTTGGTCCAGGCACTGCTGATAAAGCAAAGCAATGGAATTACAAATGTCAAGAATTAATTATTTTATTCCGTATTTGTGTGTCCTCAATTTGTGGACTGTTGCCAGTTTTGTGCTGTAAACTTTATCTTTTATGTCTCACCATTTTTTTCATAAAAAAAAATCTAGTAGGACTTCAGGATAAGTTTTCTTTGTTCAAAGCTTAGTTTGGCTTCGCCCATTATTTCAAATCAGTTAAACCTGAAAAGGAGTAAAACTTAAGTGAGTTATCAGCTGTTCAAATGTGTATACTTTTTTTGGGACCCCCTATATTACTGAGATTTGAGCACCGCTACACTTCTCCAGGATAATTCAAACCCCTGTTCTCATCATGATCTCACATAGTCAAAGGCAGCAGGTAGGCTGGTCTCTCTGATTTCACAAATAACTGCTTTATATCTAACAATCTAGTAACTTGACAGAGAAAGATGACTATTGGGACAAAAATTATGTATTTATGCTACATTAACATAATACCTAGTAAGTTTTCATTTTTTTTGTGTGTGCGGAATTAATTTTTTTTAGTGTATTCACTTTTTCTTTTCTAGCAGCTATTTTTTCCCTGAAATGTTGTGACATTTGTCACAGGCCTGTCAAAAATATTTTCCATGCATATAAGCATAACCAATGGACATAAGACACTGGGGGGTAGGGGAGGCCAGGGGATTGTCAAGGGCGGGGGGAAAAAAGGAGAAATATGTAATACTCTTTGTAATAATTTAAGCAATAAAAAAAAATATTTTCCATGTACTGAACACATTTGCTCCACTTCTTCTTGGAAGCCATCTCCCCAGCCTTTTTTTTATCCTCCTCCAGTTTAGACTTGTTCTCCAAAGGCCTGCTCTGTGCCTGCTTTTAGGCATATTTTTAAAAAAATATATTTTATTAATTTTTTACAGAGAGGAAGGGAGAGGGATAGAGAGTTAGAAACATCGATGAGAGAGAAACATTGATCAGCTGCCTCCTGCACACCCCCTACTGGGGATATGCCTGCAACCAAGGTACATGCCCTTGACCGGAATCGAACCTGGGACCTTTCAGTCCGCAGGCCGATGCTCTATCCACTGAGCCAAACCGGTTATGGCTAGGCATATTTTTTTAAAGTCATCTGGGATCTCACATACTGTTCTCTTGTGTTGGATCCCCAATTTCTTTAGATCAGCAATTTTCAACCTTTTGCATCTCATGGCATGCATACACTAATTACAATTCCAAGGCACATCAAAAATATTTTTTGTTGATCTACCAAAAAAGTAGGTATCATATTTATTCATTCACTCTGAACGTCTGTTGTGGTATTGGCTGTTGTCATTTTGTTATTTGACAATGTAAGGGAAAAGGTCAGTGGACCTGCCCAAATAGTCAGATATTGCATGTTTTAAACATTCTTGCTGCACACCAGTGTGAGGCGTGGTACACTGGTTGAAAATCTGTTTCCTGTGTTGTATGTCTTCCTCTGTCTTTTTTATTTTTTTAAAATAAATCTTTATTGTTCAGATT